ACGAGAGGCATTTTCCCGATGGTATTCCTGGTACCCCAACCCAAAGGAACCCCAAAAAAGATGTTGTGTCTGTAGCAGACATGGAATTAGGTGTGACAGATGCTTTTTTGTCCTCCTGTCCTGACCAACCTGGCCTCTGCATCAAGGACTGCTTCTGTCGCTACCATACACTAGTGGAGTATTAGTATAGGGTACAGAACGGCACAGTTCAGGGTACATTTACACAGGGTCTCAAAAGATAATAGGTAGTCAGGAAATTGGCTATCGCATTTGGAGAGACCCTACCATCTGTTTTTAAAATGTTAAAGTTTGAAAAAAAGTTAAAAAAAATAAATAAAAAGTACAAATCCCCCCCCAAAATTTTTTTTTTTAAAAACAAAAATAGTTATAGTTTTTATTGTTGTCATTTTTGTTCTTGTTCTACTTTTACTGTTTTATTGTTACTGTTTTATTGTTATCCATTTCTGTTTTCTTTGCAGGAATGCTTACAGCTGCAGCACTGACCTGTTTATTCTAACAGCAACAGGGTCTTGCTCTCAGAATATACATAAATCAGTGTGGGCAGCGCTGTCGGTGAGATTTTTCATCTGCAGTTTAAAAAAAGAGCATATATGCCTAAGCATGGTGGCCTGGGGTGGCCAGTGGGTGGATGGCCCCTATGCTTTGGCATATATAATAATTTTATATTTATTGGCACATTTCATGTGTGCCCACCATTAGAAGTGGGTGGATGAAGGGAGGTTCTCTAATGGTGGGCATACCACCACACACTTTTCCTTGCAGAGATATTTCAATTATAAAGTTGTTTTATTGAGTTACTTTTTTATTGTTAACCTTTGCAGGAATGTCAAACTGCAGCACCAACTTGTTTATTCTGACAGCAACAGGGTCTTGTACTCAGAATATACATAAGTAGGTGTGTGCAGTGCTGTCGGATGAGATTTTTCATCCGCAGTTTAAAAAAAGAGCATATATGCTGAAGCATGGGGGCCTGGGGTGGCCAGTGGGTGGATGGCCCCTATGCTTCGGTATATATATTTTATATTTGTTGGCACATTTCATGTGTGCCCACCATTAGAAGTGGGTGGATGCAGGGCAGTATATTCTAATGGTGGGCATACCACACACTTTTTCAGGCAGAGATTTCTTCTTTTTTTTTTTCCATTCGGCCCACAGGCTGCATAAAGAAAAAAACAACATAGCATATACACCCAACAAGGACCAGCGACGTACTGGTACATCACTGGACTTTGAGTGGTTATACCAGGGTGATGCCTACAGTGTTCCGCTTTCATGTAAAAGCAATCTTAGTGGCTAATTAGCTGCAGGATTGCTTTCACAAGCATCGGGAGAAAATTCCCCCTCCCCTGCTGCCTTCCATTGCTTTCTCGGGCAGTCCCGTGCCATCGGGGAAACCTGAGAATGCAGCCGGTGTTTATGCCAGCTGATCATAGAGCTGATTGGAGACCAGAATTGTGCCAGTCATCTCCATAGTCTAAGAAATGAGAAGCTACAAGCATTTCATCACTTCAGTTTCGCAGGATATAAACAACACCATTTGTAAATTGGGAAAACATCTGATCACACCAATTAGATAATGTAAGGGCAGAGGAGATATCCAGAGTCTGATAGAACCCATATTTCTTAAAAAAAGAATATATGACAATGCCCATTGAAGTTATAGGGCATATTTTTCATTCCCTGTGATAGCATTAAAAGTCATCAAAAAAAAATTAAAATAAAGGGACAATGTAAAAATAAATAAATCAGAATAACAAAAAAAGTACCCTCAACCCCCCCGCGCATGCACGCACCTGCGGTTGTGAGCGTTGACCCTGTGCCAGTATGGAAACAGCTGTTGCACCATGCATGTGAGGTATCGCCACGAATGTCAGATCAAGAGCAGTAATTCTAAAACCAGATCTCCTCTGTAAATTTAAAATGGTAGCTTGTAAAGGCTTTGAAAGCATTGCCGATAGATATTAAAAATGTATGCAGTTTGTTGCCATTGCACGGGGCATGCACAGTTTTAAAGCATGTCATGTTTGATATCTATTTACTCAGCATAGCATCATCCTTTATATATTACCAAACAATTGGCCAATATATTGTGTTTTTGTGCATTAAAATTTAAAAAAGTGTATATTTTTAAAAACAATTGCGTTTGAAAAATCGCTGTGTGAGTACTATGTGAGATAAAAAATTGCAGCACCCACCATTTTATTCACTAGGGTGTCTGCTCTAAAAAATATATAATGTTTGGGGGTTAAATTTAATTTCCTAGCAAAAATACAGATTTTTTTCATGTGAACAAAAAGTGTCAGAAAAGGCTTGGTCTTAAGGTGGTTAGAAGAGTGAGTGATGTGTGGCATAAACTTCTAATGCTGGGCATAGAATGCCCCCACCCCCCAAAATGACCCCTTTTTAGAAAGTAGACACCCCAAACTATTTGCTGAGAAGCATGTTGAATCAATAGAAGAATTTAGTTTTTACCACAAGTTTTTGGAAAATGACAAAAAAAAAAAACACAAAATTGTCATTTAAATAATTTATTGCTCACACATGCCATGGGTATATGTGGAATTACTCCCCAAAATACATTCTGCTACTTCTCCAAAGTATGGGGTACCACATGTGAGAGACGTTTTGATAGTCTAGCCAAGTACAGGACCCCAAAATCCAATAAGCACCTTCAGGCTTTTAAAGGGCTTTATTTCCTCATTACACTTCCTGACTCCCTATCACAGTTTCGGAGAACCCTGAAATGCCAGGATAGCACCAACCCCCTCAAATGACCACTTTTTGGAAATTAGACACCCCAAGGAATTTGATAAGTATGGTGAGTATTTTTCAGATCTCATTTGTTGCCACAAGTTTTTGGAAAATGAAGAAAGAAAACAAAAACATATTTTTTTCTTTTTTTTTTTATATTTCAAAACCTTGTGAGAAAAAAATGAGATCTGCAAAATACTCACCATGCCTCTTTTTAAATTTTTTGGAGTGTCTACAATCCAAAAAGGGGTCATTTGGGGGGTTTGGTGCTATCTTGATATTTCAGGGCCTCCGAAACTGTGATAGGTAGTGAGGAAGTGAAATGAAAAAGTTTATGCACCTTCAGGCTTTCAAAGTGGTCATTGGATTTCAGGCTCCTGTATATGGCTAGGCTCCCAAAAAGTCTCACACATGTGGTATCCTCATACTCAGTAGAAGTAGCAGAATGTATTTTGGGGTGTAATGCTACATATACCCATGGATTTTGTGAGCAATATATCATTTAAGTAACAACTTTGTGTTAAAAAAAAAAAAAAAACTGTTTTTGTCATTTTCCAAAAGGTTGTGAAAAAAATAAATCTTCCATGGACTCAATATGCCTCTCAGCAGATAGCTTAGAGTGTCTACTTTCCGAAAAGGGGTCATTTGGGGGTGTTTTATACTATCCTGGTATTCTAGCACCTCAAGAAAGGCAGTCAGAAAGTAAAAGCTGTGTAAATTTCAAATGATCTATACCATAGATTGTAGACACTATAACGTTAACACAAAGCAATCAATATACACTTAATGGGATTTTTGTTACCAAAAACATGGAGCAGAATACATTTTTGCCTAAATTTATAACTAACTTTGAGTTTGAAATATTTTTTATAGCCAAAATGTCCCATGAGCTACTTTGCCATGTGTAGCGCGGCCCACTGAAATCAACAGGCCACCCAATGTGTGTCACTGGGAAAATGAGCCATGAAACCTGTGTTTCCTCTACTCTGAGTGTGAATGGGGCCTGAAACGCAGCGTGCGTAGAGCATGTCAGCAAGTATGTATTGAGCATTCATGACGTGTGCATGTCACGGAACACAATACTTGGAAGACAGAAATCTCTCACTAGATAATTCGAGACTTTTATGGATTCTGTGTTTGTTTCTATTAGTTTTATGTGTATGCGTTTACATGCATTTATAGTATTTATGACGTTTAAAGGGGAACGATGGATTATGAAGCTCTGTATGGACAAGGGAAGTTAGGATTTATTGCACTTTATCCACTCATTGTGTTTTATATGCCTTTGCCAGTTTATATTTTTTCTCGTTTTCTTTGCACATTTATAGGAAGTTCTACACATTTAGTTGTGCTGCATTTTGTCCTATTATTTTTTTCTCATCAGTTATATCATAGCTTTTATCACTCTTTGTGTTTTATGCGTTTACATGCGGTTGTCATTTTTCATTTACTTTCTTTGCACATTTATAATGGGGTAGACACATTTCATTGCCATGGACTTTGTCTGCCCTTGTACTACATAGCTGGTGGGAGATCTAAAGGAGATTGTCCAATCAGATTGTATAGGAAGGTATTATAATAAAGGAGGTGTGGTCCAGAGCGGTGCACACGCCCTATCACACCCCCTTCTGTGATGCAACAAGGAAGTGAAGGCTTCTGGGAAGTGGCCTACAGGAAGTGAATGCTGAGATATCATGGACAGGAAATGATGCAAACTGAAAATCCATTCCAATAAACTGACAGACAAGTGATGGTCCTGTGGATGAGGTGAGATGAAAGCCCATCGGGATGGCCGGGCCAGAGACGGCATCAGAGAATGCTTCTGTGTATTATGGGAGGGAAATTCTGTACAAAAAGGGGACCTTCTCCTTTAACTATGGCCGAAACTGGTCACGTCTGGGTGAATGCCGGTCCATTCATTCAACAATTTATAGACTCAGCCAATCACGGGGCAGAACTCCATTTTTATTCTTCTCCTGCCATCAATGGCCAACCCGGTCCCACACTTCATCCATGTCTTTGAGGACCTCTGATCTCCTTATGACCTGTTTCTTCCATGATGACGATCAGGCATGGAGTATATCTGAGGTGTATATCAGGGTGTGCTTCTTCCTCACATTAGAGCTGGAATGTCCAGCAACATTCATCTAGAAGACATTTCCCTCACTCGAGGCACTAATACACCTTCAGGGTTGTGTGGGACCCCTGATGTACAGGAAGACTGGACTTCAGTGAGGGACATTTCCCTCACTCAGGACAGGAACGTGGCTTTTCCTCCGTGTGAGATCTCTGATGCCTGGAAAGATTGAAGCTCCTTGAAAAAAATATTTCCCGCACTCAGGACAGGAATACGGCTTCTCCCCCGTGTGAGATCTCTGATGTGTAACAAGTGCTGATTTATATATGAAACATTTCCCGCACACAGGACAGGCATACAGCTTTTCCCCCATGTGAGATCTCTGATGTGTGTAAAGATCCGACTTTTGTGAAAAACATTTCCCACACTGAGAACAGGAAAGTGGCTTCTCCCCCATGTGAGATCTCTGATGTTTGTAAAGACTGGAATTCCTTGAAAAACATTTCCCGCACTCAGAACAAGAATACGGCTTCTCCCCTGTATGAAATCTCCGATGTCTGTAAAGACTGGACATCTGTGAAAAAACATTTCCCACACTCCGGACAGGAAAGTGTCTTTTCCCCTGTGTGAGAGCTCTGATGTCTGTAAAGATGGGATAGCTGTGAAAAACAGTTCCCGCACTCAGGACAGGAGTATGGTTTTTCCCTCATGTGAGACCTTTTATGAGCATTAAGTTTGTATTTAGAACAGAACCTCTTCCCGCACTCAGTACAGGAGAAGCTCTTCCCTGTTGGCATGCTGGCCCAGTCCCACACAGTCTGAGGTTCTTCAGGATACGAGGAATCCGATGGTCCATCTACACTGGGTGGTGCCGGATGGACATTGGAGGGAGCCAGGTTTTCTCCTGGACTATACTGTGTGATGTCCTCATCTTCTACTTTCCAGTCTGGAGACAAAGTGAGACAATCCTCGGAGGTTTTCCTCATCTCCCGGCCATGGACTAAAATACAAAGACAAAGAGGATTACTAGACAGGAGCTGATTGGTTCCCCCAAACCAGGACTGGCTGAGCCCCAACAACAGAGGTCAGAGAGTGAGGATGGGGGGAGAACAACCAAGATGAAGACTGGACTGATCCTGAAGACCACCATCATTGGGGTATTGACTCCTCCCTCATTATCATCACTTTCTGTTTAAGGGTCCCAAAGTTGGAGGATGTTATCACATTATTATCACCATGTAAAAGTCTGTGCTCCAATCACATCATCCGATATAAAATGTCCAGCTGGGAGGAAATGGGTGTAACAAAAGAGAACCCGTATTATGTGTATATATAGCAGTGAAGGGAGGGGGGGAAGTCAGGACTAGAGTACAACATAGAGTATAAGTCAGGGGGACTATGGAATGTACAACATGGAGTATATAGTGCAGGGGTCAGGAGTATGTAATGTACAATATAAATTATACAGTATAAGGGTCAGGACTCATAATATTGGTATTCAGTAATCAGTGGAAGCTTAAATGTTTACTGTAGACAAGTTGCAGAGATCCCACACCGCTGCCTCCCATCTCCTGAGACTGCACTCAGTGACTTGGGTCTGAGACTATACAGACATATCCCTCCCCGGCACAGCCAGCAGACCACAGAGCAAGGAACCCTGGGAGAAATGATCGGTCAGAGATCTTACTAGACCTGGGCATGGGGAAGGACACCCAAAGCACACACCCCAGGTGCCTAGGTCTAGTAATGCCTGTGCTGAAAATCAACATTCTGCTGCCAGCTGAACCCCAGAACCTCCATAAATCCAGTCTAGAGACATAAATTGTGTCTGCAGCACAGAGAAGGAAGATTATCCGAGAGGAATACAGGACGGGGAACACAGCTCAGGAAAGTGACCAGGGGATTACAGGCTGATATCACCCAGTCCCCGCCCTACTCTGGACCAATCAGTGAGCAGTATGGGTGGAGGAATGGATTTAGTGTTCATGACCCACCTGTGCTGATCTCTGTAGGAGTGTCCTCCTCTATAAATGTCCCCGTTATTCCATCCTCCTTCATAGACTGCTGATCATCCCTCACATACGCCTCTTCTTCTTCTGCTTTCACCTCAAATTCTATATCGATTGGATCTCCACTCTAAATCAAGGAAATGAGAGAAAATATCATCTGTAAAATGTAAGACTTATGATTGTGACATCACTTAAACAATCCACACATTGTCTCCATGAGTCTATTTTTTATAAGCTCCATCCCACCAACCTTGTAATGGTGAGGGATGGTGTGATCTTCCTGTGTGGAATCCTGGGAATACAAAGGACGGGGACATCTCTCTGGGGGGTTCCTGGTATTAGGTGGCTCCATCATATCCTTGTGTCCTTCTGAAAACTCCTCCATCACTCCATACTCCTCATCCTCCTCTTTTTATACTCTTCTTTAACAACAATATTATAATCCCCGAGGATTCCACTCTGAAAGATATAATAAAACTTCATTGTAACAAACATGCTGTGTATAAATCACAACTACCAATAATTGTCATCATCTACCTGATGATGGTGAGGGATGGTGTGACCTTCCTGTGTGGAATCCCGGGAATACAGAGGACGGGGACATCTCTCTGGTGGGTTCCTGTAGCTGGATGACTCCACCATGGTGTCCTGGTACAGATCTTTGTGTTGCTTTAGAAAGTTTGACTCTTCCATTCCCCCATCCTCATCCTCCTCTTTTATCTCTCTTTAACATCAACTTTAGGATCTCTCAGGTTTCCACTCTGAAAATATATAATAAAAATGCCATCAATGGTAACAATGCAGATAATGTACAGATCCTAATGATACTATCAGTGATTGTTCCTCATCTACCTGATGATGATGGTGAGGGATGGTGTGACCTTCCTGTGTGGAATCCCGGGAATACAGAGGACGGGGACATCTCTCTGGTGGGTTCCCATGACTGGATCCATCTGTAGGAAACACACACACTGACTGAATCCATTGTTTCTATGTGTTTATCAGATGATGGGGGATCTAGGTGGATCCTCCGTACTGCTCTCTCCTTTACAATAAAGTCTCCTCTTACCCGGTGATGTGAGGGGCGGCTGATTGTCCATCATGACGTCCTTGTAGAGATCCTTGTGTCCTTCTAAAATACTCCCACTCCTCCATGGAGAAATAGACAGTGACACCACTGACACCTTATAGGAACCTGACACACACAATGATACAGTCACCATCCAGACACATCCCTTGTCTGTTACTGGAGAATGTCCCAGAATTCCCGGCACCGCTCACCTCTCCTGTCAGCAGCTCAGTGATCTCTCTGGTGACTTCTAGAATAGAATTCTTCTTCTTCTTTCTCTCTTCTATCAGGGAGGGAGGTGGAGGCAATGTGATGTCATATGATCTCCAGACTTCACAGGAGGAAAACTCTACATCTGAACACAAATAGGTCACATCAAATGATATTCCCAGAATCCTCCTCACCTCTCCATTCAGGTCTCCATTTTATTAAAGCCCCACTTCAGGCTGAGGTATAATTTCCCCCCACAGGACCCCCCCACTACACAGGGCAGGGTATAGGCTTGTTGCAGCATTCTGATGTCATTACATACAACGCAGGACCAACAGTCCCACTTTACATGTGAGGATACCAAGGGGCCCCACATCCTAAGAGCATCAGAAAAATGCCAGATGGAGGGACATTGGGGGGAGGAGCTGTGAGGTCAGTGTGATGTCATAGGATTCTCTGACTCTGGATGGAGGGACATTAGGAGGAGGAGCTGAGGTCAGTGTGATGTCATAGGACATATTGTAAGGGACCGCCTGGCGGTACCACTAGCACTCCACTGAATAGGCGTCCCCAGCGCATGGAGTCTAAGTCCCAGGGTGCTTGTTCACCAGGGCCCCTGATGGTGGGGATGGACTTGGAGCCCCCTGAGACCAGGTCGTGGCTACTGGGTGCGTCCGTCAGTGGTAGGGTATGCGCCAGGGGCTCCCACGGGGAAGAGTCTGATATGAGGAGGTCAGCAGACCCCACTGCACGGGATGGATGGATGGATGAGCAAGGTCAGATGGGCCGGGTCGGTAACAGAGAGGACGGCAAGGTACAAGGCAGGGGCATAGAATAGTCGGGTCACACTCCAGGTCAGCAACAGCAGGTCAAATCCAATAGGGGGCATCCAGGAGAGAGGTCAGGCAAAGCAAGGGTCTGGGCAGGAGAAATACAGCAAGGTCAGGTACAATCCGGGTCAGCAACTTACAATACACAGGTTCACGGATACAGGATACAGGTAAGACCAGAAGGCACTCAATGACAGCTCAGGGTCGTTTAAATATCCCGCCCTGCGCTGCCATTGGTGCCCAGCGGGCGGCCGCGGCTTCTACTGCGCATGCGCGAACTCAAACGCCGCGGCCGGCCCGGACCCAGTGCTCGAGTCCCTGCACAGGGCGGCACACTGCGCCTGCGCCGGGACCATCGCGGCGGGGATCGAGGGGATCCCTGACACATATAGACTCTGGATGGAGGGACATTTGGATGGGAAGATTTGAGGGGTCCTCTATATGAGGCTCCCATACAAATCAAATCATTGTTCCTGGGTGCGTCCTACCTCTCCTAAACTGAAGAGTGAACTTTGACCTTTACCATCCAGAAATCTGTCCGGAATCTGTGGAAGTAAGCTGTCATGTGATCAGGTGACGTGCGGAGGAACGGAGTGTAAATAGCAGACAATTGTCTCCAGAGCCCCTAATGGTGGGGATGGATTTGGCGGCGGCGTGCTGGTGCCAAGTTTCCTCCCCCCAGGGTCACTGCAGGTGTGGAGAAAAGCTGTGTAAGAGGATATGGAGGAGAGATGAGGAGGAGATCCAGGAATCAGGAGAAAGGTCAGGGCAAGCAACAGACGAGCGCATCCAAGAGACCAAGCCGGGGTCACTACACAGAAAATCAATCCAAGGAAACAACAGGCAGGACGAGGAATAGCAAGAAGGAGCTGAGAGACAAATGAGAATATTGCTCAGCCAATGGGAGATGATCTCAGCATGACTTCCATCATGAAGGAGATGAGGGGGAGGGGAGGAAGTCACTGAAGGTGACCATAGATCCATGGAAATTCAGCTGGTTCAGCAGGGATCGCTCACATTTCCATCCATGTGTGGCCACTGCCGGATAAAAGCCACTCCCCCAGCAGCTGCAGCCAATAGCTTCAGTGCTGATCTGTGTATTCTGAGAGCGGAGGAGTCCCCCCATTGTCAGAATACAAGAGTGCAGCGGGGAGGATTCCCCCATCCACCTCCAATGTGTGGATGGGGGAATCGCTTCAGTTTTTTATGGTCATCCCGCTGGCTGAACGATAAAACTGAACCATGTAGGCCAGCTTTGGGAGCAAATATATTATCATCAACTCCTCCCCCTGAAGGGGTTAATCTACATATTACCTCCTCTGCGGCCAGATCCAGGAATGTCTCCTCTCTACTGCCTCATTCATAGAACTTCCTGTCTATTCCTGACATCACTTTCCTGACTATTCCATCACTTCCTGTCTGTCTTCCATAGAGACTTCCTGTCTGGGTAGAAGTG